AAAAAAAAAAAAAAAAAAAAAAAATATATATATATATGTGTGTGTGTGTGTGTGTGTATATATGTATAATTAAATAAATAAATACATAAAAATAGTAACTGTAGACTTTCTTCTGTCCAGCAGAGGGCGAACACTTGCAAGAAATGATGTATGAGCGAACAGTAACTCCTACTGATTTGTGAAACTGTAAATACAAAGATGGAAAGACTTAGTAAGCATGCAGATTTAAAGAAAATAATTTGATTCAGGGAAATTCTGAGCAGGGAAATTTTATGTCTTAGCGAGAAGAGCTCTTATACAGCGAAATGTGTGCTTTGGTTAAGGAAAGATAGCAGGACCAGTAAAGATTCTGGTTCTTCTGGGTTAAAAGTGAATTAAATGCATTAATACAGCTAATGAGCCTTATACGAAAATCATTAATGTTAAAGGGTTTGAGTTTGGATTTCCAGTTCATTCACTCAGTTTGGGTCATGCTGCTCAGAGAGCAGGTCAGTGTTACTCTGAGAACTGCAATCTCCATTCTCATGTTTTTTTGGAAGTTTTGTTTGAATCAGAAATGAAGAATTTATCTATTTATGCTTGGGCATAAATTAGTTTCTGTCACTCTTGTGTTGTAGAAACAGGACAAGTATTGTAGTGAAGTATAGACCCTTCTGAATGACACTTGTAAAACTCTCTTCAGCTCATTCTGAATGTCTTTCTTGTGTTATTTTCAGTTTGTCTCTGAGCTGAAGTTTGAGGGTTACTGTTTGAGAGCTCAGAGGAGAAATCGCTGGAGTGATGCACTGTATCCTCACACAGACCCACAATGCCACACTGATCATAAACTACAGCATGAGGTGAGCAGATTCAACGGAGTCTTACAATTATTATTATTATTTTTTTTTATAAAAACTGAAAAAGTTCGTATTCGTTTGACACTAAAACACTTCAATTTCTGCTCCAGAAATCTATTCATAATATTCCCAAAAATTTTGTTTTTGTTTTATGTTTTTATCATACTAGTGCTGAGGGTTTTGTTCAAGTTGTGAAAGTTTATTATAGAATTTATTATAAAGAAAGTCAAACAAATTAAACCTATTTTTTGTGAACTACATTTGTGACTCTTCAGGTGGCACATTTTGAGTCTGTGCCACCAATGAGAGTTTCTTACTGGGAGAAATGAGAATGAGATCTCATATGAAGCTTTTAATATTAATATCAAACAATCCTGCTGAAAATTGTTTCACACGATGACTAAAATTGTCCAGTGCATTTGTGGCCCTATGAAGGCACTCTAAATTTGTATATTGGCTGTTTCTTTCTCTCTCTCCCTCTCTCTGCATCTCTTACACTGTCGTTCTGTCATAAAAGTGAGAGTGTGGAATGTAATCGTAATGAGTTTTCCGCTCTAGATTAATCACAGTGGTGGTAGTGGAGACTCCAGCCCCTCCAACGGAGCCGATTACACCCCACAGTCTGTTTACACAGGGCTCGTGCCGTACATTCA